TGCAAGGTCGGCATATGATGTCCGGGCCCCCTCCACCTGTAATAAGCATTTACAGTTAGTAGGTATAAACGTTACCTGTAAAGAAACATATGATATAGCTATAGCTATATCTATCAATATGTATATATACAGTACAGTACATACAGTATATACTGTATGTATTTATATTTTTTACTTACCTTACTGCTGTCTTCTGTATTGCTGGTATGGGCCTTCTTCTGGGAAAATTCTTGGGTAATGCAGAGCAGGTCAAATCTTGTGAGAAGTCACTCTAGTCCGTTGCAAAAGGGTCTTCTTGTGAGATTTTGGCTGCTCTGTATTCCTCAGGATCTAGCCGGAGAGTGTGATGTAATTGCCGGTACTGGCGGAAGACAGAGTTAGGGTAAGGTAAGTATACATATTACTTTTTTCTTTACAGGTAACTTTTACACCTACTAACAGCAGGTCATTTCTACAGGGGGACAGGGGCACTGACAGTACGAGGAAACCTTGCAATTGACCTCAAAGTCCCCTTTAACCAACCTGCAGAATTTATGCACCACAGCGCACGTCGATTCAATGTGTCCCACTGCACATTCCCTGCTGACAGTACACCGTAATTTATTTCCTGTTTCTGGGAATATTGACGTTTATGCAATGCACCGAAGGCAGTAACACTGAAAATTCTTGATGAACCCTCTGCACACTGCTACATAACTATTTCTAGAAAACAACATCAAAACAGGGGATACTTGGTTCACATATACTGTGTATTGCAATACATGTTCAAGCTGGCCACCTGCATCCGAGAGATCCTACTCTGGCCAGTCGCTACTCTACTGTGCAAAATGACAAATACACACTTGCTTATAGCATACTTTAATGGACAAATAGTGTCAAAACAGCAGGTCTATAGCTCTCCTCCAACTGGCACATATAGAGGCTTCTTAGATCTGGTCACTGAACTGCACTATGCAATAGAAATTGATAGATCGCTTTGCTCAAATTTAAAAAGCTTACCTATAGCACATGAGGTTCTGAAGGGGCGTGATCACATATTAAAACAGACCTTCACTTTCAAAAGTCACTTTTGCAACCCACCCTCCATGCAGTCTTAAAAGGTTTCTGGTTTTAGCTCGCCATTATTCTTGCCTAGGTAGAAATGACGTCAGTCCTGCTACAGCAGAAGGCATCAGACTCAGAGGGTGGACCTCGTGTCATTGGGGGCCAGCTTCCAATGAAGTCAGAAGAAAAGATGGCGGTGCGGGATCTGGCATGTAGCTGCGGATGACAGCAGGACAATGTTGGATTTGCTGGGCATGTTATTTGAGCATAATGCAGCAAGAAAATGTAAGAGGGGGTTAACAGCTAAATTAGTCCTGGCTGGGGGCAGGTGAAGTTCCTAATTTAGACTCCATTCTGGGCAATATTTTAGGTGCGATTAGGGATTCCTGCGTCAGGAACTTGCATTTAGGAAGTGATTGATTCCTAACCGCATGTAATTGTATCATATATGATTATATGCAGTGTGTCGGTGTTCTGCCACTTTCAAATGCAGCCGCTTTTACCCAATTATTAACTTGAACGGGTGACCGCAGTTGCTTGTAAACAGATTAGGGATTCCTGCTGCAGCAAAGTTCGTGATCCCTTATCCCACCTAAAATATAGATGTAAACGGAGCCTTATTCACACCGGCGCAGAAGCCTGTAATACATGAAAGAGGTGTTTATTTCCACGGCAGGGAGGTGCATGGGAGTAACAGGTGTTGCCTGCAGTCAACTATACAAATCAATAACACAATGTGACTAAACATACAGGTACACATACAGCCTGTGTCCACGGCCATGCATCCATACATGTCCACACTTGCACCTTCGATTACCAGCGTACATATTCATCCTGTCATTGATATGTATAGGCGACTGCATACAACACTTGTGACTCGCAGCCCCAAAAACAAATGCCTCTTTCACACCGTACGGCATGCCTTCCAACTTTTTGAGATGGAGAAGAAGGACATATTATAAAACATAGTATGTCAGCAAAAGACATACCCCCACCACACCCCCAGTAACATGGACCATGAGGATTAATGTGCAAAAAAAGACTGGTTTACCCAAAAACTGCTTTTTTCCATCACTATTTTCCCTTTATTTTCATTTTTCAAAATAAAAAGCGTAATCATTTAAGTGTTAGATAAAAGGTTTGGTGTAGGAAAACTCTTTTTTATCGTTAAATAATACATTTTATGGAGATCTATGCACAGGACCAAAAAGAGGAATAATGAGGAGGAAAAAGGCACAGAGGGACTCAGTTCCAAAAGAGGGTCAACTGAGAAGAAAAAAAGGGACAACTCAATAAATGGCGCCCTTTCAGACTGGGCTAGTGTCATTAGCGGTGTGCCTCAAGGTTCTGTGCTGGGACCCATGCTTTTCAACCTGTTTATTAACGACATCGGGGACGGAGTACACAGCGATATCTCAGTGTTTGCTGACGATACCAAAATTGGGAGGGTAATAGAAACAGACCAAGATAGTGTAACATTGCAGAAGGACCTGGATAAAATAAACTATGTGGGTGGAGGAATCTCCCGCTGGGCCAAGCTTCAGTATCTTGCTAGTTGGCCCCGATGGCTGTCAAAATACCTGACCAATCTGATTGGATGCAGGCATTGTTCAAGTATATTAAGAGTGAGCGGGGCTGACTAGCAAGATACTGATACTTGGCCCAGTGGGAGATTTCTCCATCCACACAGTTAAGCGTAGATGGAGGAATCTGTTGCACTTTTTCCATCTGACCATAGAAATTCTGCAGATAATCTATAGGTGTATGGCTAGCTTAAGGATAAAAGAGCGACCGGGGGAGTTGGTTCCAAATGAGGGACAAGTGAGGAGGAAAATGGAACACATGGATCTGGTTCCAATAGAGGGACAGTTCAGAGCTATGCTGTTATGAGCATCTGAGCTCATAACTGATTGAGACCTAACATGTAGCAGCCAGAATTCATATTTCCATGTTACTACCATTGACAGTGGCAACATCTACCATGTTTTACTGCACATTGCACGTCACCATTGCTATCTGTACTGTTCAATCACCATTACTATGTGTACTGTTCCATCACCATTACTATGTGTACTGTTCCATCGCCATTACTATGTGTACTGTTCTATCACCATTACTATGTGTACTGTTCTATCACCATTACCATCTGTACTGCTCTATCATCATTACTATCTGTACTGTTCTATCACCATTACTATCTGTACTGTTCTATCATCATTACTATGTGTACTTTTCTATCACCATTACTATGTGTTCTATCACCATTACTATCTGTACTGTTCTATCACCATTACTATCTGTACTGTTCTATCATCATTACTATGTGTACTGTTCTATCATCATTACTATGTGTACTGTTCTATCATCATTACTATGTGTACTGTTCTATCACCATTACTATGTGTACTGTTCTATCACCATTACTATGTGTACTGTTCTATCACCATTACTATGTGTACTGTTCTATCACCATTACTATGTGTACTGTTCTATCACTATTACTATGTGTACTGTTCTATCACCATTACTATCCGTACTGTTCTGTCACCATTATTATGTGTTCTATCCCTGTTACTATGTGTTCTATCATTTACGATCTATTTTATCACCCTTTCTATCTGTTCTATCACCATTACTATGTGTTTTATCACCATTAATATCTGTTCTATCACCATTACTATGTGTTCTATCACCTTTACTATCTGTTCTGTACCCATTACTGTGTGTTTTATCACCATTACTATGTGTTCTATCACCTTTACTATCTGTTCTATCAGCATTACTATGCGTTTTATCACCATTACTATGTGTTCTATCACTATCTGTTCTATCATTACTACTGTTCTATCACCATTACTATGTGTACTGTTTTATCACAACTACTACCTGTGTTATCACCATTACTATGTGTTCTATCACCATTACTATCTCTTCTGTCCCCATTACTAAGTATTCTATCAGCATTGCTAGCTGTACTGTGCTATCCCTATTACTATGTGTACTGTTGTATCACCATTACGATCTGTTCTGTCCCCATTACTATGTGTTCTATCAGCGTTACTATCTGTACTGTGCTATCCCTATTACTATGTGTGCTGTTGTATCACCATTACTATCTGTTCTGTCCCCATTACTATCTGTTCTATTTTCATTGCTATCTGTACTGTTCTATTACCATTACTATGTGTTCTATTACCATTACTATGTGTTCTATCCCCATCACTATCTGTTCTATTTTTATTGCTATCTGTACTGTTGTATCACCATTACTATGTGTTCTTTCCCCATCAATATCTGTCCTGTCACTATTGCTGCCTGCCCTGGTTTATGATATAAGTGTATAGTATATTTCCTCTCTATCTTCATAATGTACAGATATGGATGAATGAATGTACAATGTAATTGGTGAAATGAGATGAGGAAGAGCGTTATATTGAAGGGTAAGAGAGCTGAGCCTTGACATCTCCAGGCGGTGTACACGGGCAGGCAGTGGGTGTAGCTCGTACTCCTTAGGGTGGGAGCAGGGAGGGTTTCACCGGCAAGGAAAGGGGATTCCGGACAGCAGCATCGCCCCCTGCCCTGCCATCTCCGATCATCAGCTGTCACCGGAATCCAGTGCCACCGACAGATCGGCTGATCGGCCCGGATGACCCTGATCAAGAAGAAACTGTCACCCGATCGTCCGGCCTGCAAAGAATCAAACGCGATGACAGTGACAGCTCCATGGACCGTGTGCATCCCCCTTCTCGGGGCCCCCGTGTAACTCGATGCACGCTGCTAAGACTCCCAGTATATTGTCCTCTCCTGTTTATGAAAGCCTCCACCCACCGGCCCACCCTAGATTTAGCAGATCATGTGATCCCGGTAAGTCATTTGCAAGTACAACAGTTCTCTGTGTGCCCCCATTCATTTCCTGAGAACTGCATAGAGCAGCCGAGGGAGGCTGTGGATGTGTGTGTGTGTGTGTGAGTGTGTGTATGTGTGAGAAAGGCACAGACAGGGGATTCTCTATAAGGCACACGAAACCCTTTCCTACTGCTCTGCAGCTTCTACTCAGGTCTGTGACTATTCCATTTCTTATGACAACATGCATTTCCATCTGACACGGGCTGTCTCCCAAAACAGTCTGACTTGTGGCAATCACATATGTCTACATCATGACACTTATTAATCATACATGTATGAATCAAATAGCTCTAGATCATGACACTTATATTAAATAGCTCTAGATCATGACACTTGTATTAGTCAACTATATCTAGATCATGACACTTGTATTAATCAAATAGATCTAGATCATGACACTTGTATTAATCAAATAGATCTAGATCATGACACTTGTATTAATCAAATAGGTCTAGATCATGACACTTGCTTTAGTCAACTATATCTAGATCATGACACTTGTATTAATCAAATAGATCTAGATCATGACACTTGTATTAAATAGATCTAGATGGGGGATCTTGTATTTATCAACTATATCTAGTTCATGACACTTGTATTAATCAAATAGATCTAGACCGGGGCACTTATTAATCATACTTGTAATAATCAAATATGTCTTGATCATGCCACTTAATAATCATACTTGTATTAAATCAGATATGTCTAGATCATGGCACTTGTATTAATCAAATATATGTAGATCATGACGCTTATTACTCATACTTGAAAAAAAATAATCAAATTTGCATACATGATGCCACTTATTAATCTAATGTTGTATATAGATGATGCCACTTGTGTTAATCCAATATGCCTAGATGATGCAACTTTTTGTCTTCATTACTGATCAATGATGTGATTGTATCAAAATCTCTATTTTGAATGCTGATTGTATTTTCTGTATTCCAAGTTCTTGTCTCATGTGATCATAATAGGAGTAAGCGTTGCTGCTGTGGTTCTGTAGAGTTAGGTGACATCTGCCAATAGTTGGAGCAGTGCAGCGAATGTGTCAGTGTTTATTTCAGTAGTTTGGATCTTGTTTCACTACTGATATGTGTTTTGGAAGAAGTAAGAGCTGGAAGTGCTGATGACCA